TTGCATGCTGGGCACAGAGGGCGAGACCCGCAACTCCCTTGTATCCCCTCTTCCCAATAAATTGCCTTTTAAAATTTCAATTAGGAAGTACATTAGGTCAATCAGATAAAGTCACACATTGGGAAGAGGATTTCGCCTTTTTAACGGCCCTCGCCTCTTCAATTATCTATAATGAACTTCCTAACAGAGCCTCAAACCTTTTTATATGCTAACGAATCCTTTTATTGGGGCCTCTGCAATTGCCTCTTGTTAATGAATTTGAAACAAGGATGATCAAAAAGGTTATGGCGCCGGCTTGGGGTGGCGTGCGAGAAGGAAATCTCCAAATTTCTTCATATTGCCTCCTTTTCTTAATGCCCCTGGCCTTCTTGCATGTCTTTGTGCTCTGGCTCTGAGTTCCCCTCCTGGGATCCATGCCAGGGTTCCTTTCCCAAAAATAGACTTTGATCACCCATGGTTATTATTTTTCATTATTATTGATTTGATTTATTAACCTGCCTTCACCTTGAGGTTCCTAGGGCGGCTCTCAACCATTCAAAATGTAACTTTAGAAGCAGTTTAAGAGAAATTATATAGGGATGTGGGTGGTGCTGTGGGTTAAACCACAGAGCCTAGGACTTGCCAATCAGAAGGTCGGCAGTTCGAATCCCCGCGACGGGGTGAGCTCCCGTTGCTCGGTCCCTGCTCCTGCCAACCTAGCAGTTCGAAAGCACGTCAAAGTGCAAGTAGATAAATAGGTACCACTCCGGCGGGAAGGTAAACGGTGATTCCGTGTGCTACTCTAGTTCGCCAGAAGCGTCTTAGCATGCTGGACACATGACCCAGAAGCTGTATGCCTGCTCCCTTTAAATTGTGCCTTTAAAGCGAGATGAGTGCCGCAACCCCAGAGTCGGTCACGACTGGACCTAATGGTCAGGGATCCCTTTACCTTTACCTAAGACAAATTACAGTCGCAGGAAAGCACACATCTCAGGTGCCAAAGCCCAGGGGGCAGTGATGAGTCTTCAGCATAGAGACTCACAGAATGGTAGAGTTGGAAGGGACCACAAGGAGCATAAGCAAAAGGAAGAAGAGTTTGGATTTGATATCCCGCTTTATCACTCCCCTAAGGAGTCTCAAAGCGACTAACATTCTCCTTTCCCTTCCTCCCCCACAACAAACACTCTGTGAGGTGAGTGGGGCTGAGAGACTTCAGAGAAGTGTGACTGGCCCAGGGTCACCCAGCAGCTGCATGTGGAGGAGCGGAGACGCGAACCCGGTTCACCAGATTACGAGTCCACCGCTCTTAACCACTACACCACGCTGGCTAGCCCAACCCCCTGCAATGCAGGAATCTTTCGCCCAATGTGGGGCTCGAACCCGCAAGCCTGAGATTAAGAGTCTCATGCTCTACCGACTGAGCTATCCCAGGTTATCTTTTGGAAATTATACCTTGTAGGTGCCAGATGCACCTCTGTGTGGCGGGAGCTTCACCTCTTAAAAATATATGTACAGTGATACTTTGGGTTACAGACACTTTAGGTTACAGACGCTTCAGGTTACAGACTCCGCTAGCCCAGAAATAGTACCTCAGGTTAAGAACTTTGCTTCAGGATGAGAACAGAAATCGTGCGGCGGCAGCAGGAGGCCCCATTAGCTAAAGTGGTGCTTCAGGTTAAGAACAGTTTAAGGTTAAGTATGGACCTCCAGAATGAATTAAGTACTTAACCCGAGGTACCACTGTACTTCTTCATGCAGCACATAGTTAAAGTATGGAACTCGCTCCTGCAGGGGGCAGTAATGGGCACAAACTTAGATGACTTTAAAAGAAGATTCCACAAATTCATGGAAGGGAGGACTATCAATGGCTACTGGCCAGGATAGCTATGCTCTGCCCCCAGAGTTGGAGGCGGCAGTGCTTCTGAATAGCTCTTTCTGGAAACCACCAGAAAGGGAAGAATGCACATTTCAGAGTGTTGGTGCTGACCTTGAAAGCCCTAAACGGCCTCGGCCCAGTAGACTTGAAGGAGCGTCTCCACCCCCATTGTTCAGCCCGGACGCTGAGGTCCAGCTCTGAGGGCCTTCTGGCGGTTCCCTACCTGTGAGAAGTGAAGTTGCAGGGAACCAGGCAGAGGGCCTTCTCGGTAGTGGTGCCCGCCCTGTGGAAAGCCCTCTCACCAGATGTCAAAGAAATAAACAACTACAGTGGTACCTCATGTTAAGAACTTAATTCGTTCTGGAATCCGTTCTTAACCTGAAACTATTCTTAACCTGAAGCACCACTTTAGCTAATAGGGCCTCCTGCTGCTGCCGTGCTGCCACTATGCGATTTCTGTTCTCATCCTGAAGCAAAGTTCTAAACCCGAGGTACTATTTCTGGGTTAGCGGAGTCTGTAACCTGAAGTGTCTGTAACCCGAGGTACCACTGTATCTGACTTTTAGAAGACATCTGAAAGCAGTCCTATTTAGGGAAGTTTTTAATGTTTGATGTTTTGTAGTGTTTTTAATAGGGATGCGGGTGGCGCTGTGGGTAAAACCTCAGCGCCTAGGACTTGCCGATCACATGGTTGGCGGTTTGAATCCCCGCGGTGGGGTGTGCTCCCGTCGTTCGGTCCCAGCGCCTGCCAACCTAGCAGTTCGAAAGCACCCCCAGGTGCAAGTAGATAAATAGGGACCGCTTACCAGCGGGAAGGTAAACGGCGTTCCGTGTGCTGCGCTGGTTCGCCAGATGCAGCTTTGTCACGCTGGCCACGTGATCCGGAAGTGTCTGCGGACAGCGCTGGCTCCCGGCCTATAGAGTGAGATGAGCGCACAACCCTAGAGTCTGGCAAAACTGGCCCGTACGGGCAGGGGTACCTTTACCTTTACACACACACACACACACACACACACACACACACATATATATGGAAATACATATTTCTGCATTTTTTAAAATAGCATTGCATTGTTCAACAAATGCTGTGTGTGAGTGTGTTGAAAGCTTTTGGGGAATTCCATACCGTTTGATCAGAGCCTGGCATGGTGGGCATATTTTCCTCGCAAACACACCTGATGCCAGTTGTGGTCCATCTCACCCACAGAACAGCATGATTGACAGTCTCCATAATGCCATTCCTAGTCAGGGTAACTGCAGCTGTTCCGCAGCTCATCCATTTCTTGGTGTTGCTCAACTGTTTGTGCCCACGAGGCGCGTCCGCCATCTGCTGTGAGGAGAGATCCCGCCCGCATCTCTCTCTCAAGTCACACGTCTTTCCGCTTCCCCCTCCCGGTGCTTTGAGTCACTCCTTCCCTTCGTCCCTCCCTTCCCATCACCAGTTCTTGAAACTGGGCACCTGAAATCAGCCCCCTGCAGAATGTGCTGCTTTGCTGTCTCTTCTACCTTTCCTTAGAATGGGGGTGAGGACACATTAAAGGGCATCTTCCCTTCGTAACATAAAAGGGGGAAGGAGTGCAGCCCAGTAGTAGAGCAGCTGCTTTGAATACAGAAGACCCCAGTGGCAACTCCAGGTAAAGTGGGGAACATCCCCTGCCTGAAGACCTGGAGAGCTGCTCAAGTCAATGCAGACATCACTAAGTTAGATGGACCAAGGTGGGCTGAGGTAGATGGTAGTTGAATCCAGGGCCGGCTTACCCATAGGCTCTAGGGTTGCGGGGCACCTGGGCACCGGGCTCTCAGGGGCGCCAGGCCGAGAGTCCAGGGCCAAGATTTGGAGTCTGGGGATTGAAGAACCAGGCCAGCCGACAGCTGCTGTTGAGCGGAGCAGAGCCCGTCAGAGCGCCGCAGGCTTTTCTGCTGCGGGCGCTGAGGCAGCCGGCCGGCTTTGCCCTCCTGTGCGCCTGGGATTGGCGGGCCATCGAGAAGCCCACCCAGTGCATGCATGCTGCTCACATGAGGCACATAGCTTCCCTCCCTCTGTGGGGATTGCTCTCCTCCCTCCACCCACAGCATCCCCCCAAAAAACCCCTAACCCTAACCCAAAAATGGGGGGTGCTGGGCAGTTTTTTGCACCCTGGCGCCGCATATGCTAAAGACGGCCTTGGTTGAATCTGAATGTTGGAAGATTCAGGGCAGATGGAAGGAAACACTTCTTAACGTTGCACATGGTTAAATTATGAAATTTGCTCCCATGGTGATGACCACCAAACTAGAGGGCTTTAGAAGACCGAATTTATGGAGGAGAGGGCGATTGATTGATGGATGGCAGCTGGAGACCGTAATGCTTCCGTATACCGATTGCATGAGACCACAGGAGGTGAAAGGGCTCTTGTGTTTGGATCCTGCTTGCAGTTTTCCCACTGGGGCACCTGGTTGGCCACTGTAAGAATAGGGTGCGGGATTAGATGGGCCATTGGCCGTCAGGCACTTTCTTGATCTCCTGCCCTGGGGCAGAAGATATATAGAAGCATGATTAGTCGCGCCAACAGGGTAAAGAACAGCTTCTATCCGTGGGCTGTTAGGCTGCTGAATGAAAAGATAACAACAGGGCAACTGACTTTCGGGTTTGGTGTGTGTGTGTGTCAGTAAACGAGGGGAATTACTGTATATTCGCTCCATAAGACGCACCTAGTTTTTGGAAGACGAAAACAACAACAACAAAAATATTCTGAATCCCAGAAGCCAGGACAGCAAGCAGGATTGAGCTCCAGGGACCACACATTCGCTCCATAAGATGCACAGACATTTCCCCTTAGTTTTTAAGAGGAAAAAAGTGCGTCTTATGGAGCGAAAAATACAGTAAGTCTAAGAGAGCTGAGTGGGGGGTGCTCATGTAATCTCACTGTATACAAGTTGTACAAGTGACAATAAAGTATTTCAATTTCAATTTATCATCTTTGTTAACCCTCCTCTGTACCTGTAAGAGATTGCAGGACAACACCTAATTAAGGCCGCGGCAAGTTGCCAGATTCCAAATCGGCCTATCAGGAAAACGTAACTAAGCGTTTGACTAACTGCATGGGTCAATTTCTTTCTTTCCCCTCCCATCCCACCTCCTCCTCCTCCTCCCTGCTTTCTCCAGGACTGCCCCCAGTTGCTGCACGTCAGTAAGATCTTGGTGCCTGTGGACGTCATCAAGCCAATCACACTGAAGGCCAAGAACCTTCCTCAGCCTCAATCCGGGCAGCGGGGCTACGAGTGCATCATCAGCATCCAGGGCAACGAGAAGAGGGTGCCTGCTTTGCGGTTCAACAGCTCCAGCGTCCAGTGCCAAAACACTTCAGTGAGTAAGCCCCGCCACTCTGGGCCATGGGAAAGGGAAGAGGGGAGCTGGACTGCAGGAAGAGATAGGTGACAATCAGTGCCGGATTTACGTATAAGCCAAACAAACTATAGCTTAGGGCCCTACTCTCTTGGAGCCCCCCCCCAAAAAAATGAAAGAAAAAAACCTGGATGTACATTTCCAAAATATAAGATAAAAAACAAATAAAATAAAACCTACATACAGCAACAGTGTTTTGCGTTGTATAGGCTCCTATGGTGTAAGTCATGGGCCCCGCCTGCTAGCCTGCTCCCTAAAATATCCCTGGTTTGCTCCTTTCTATATATAGGGTGCCTACATTCTGCATGGACTGGTTGCATGTGGAACATGTGCAAATGGCTTGAGATACCTATGAGGTCCATAAATTACTGTATAGATTATATTCAACAACAACAACAAAAAACAGCGACCATTTGTTGTTGACAAAGGACAGCTGGACATATCAAGGGCCCCATTACCTTCAGTAGCTTAGGGCCTCATCAAACCTAAATCTGGCCCTGGGGACAATTGTGATTTTGTTTGCATTTTAATGGGAGACTTTACGAAGCAACACACAGACCGAAACGGAGCTATCGGTTGAGAACTGCGCTTCTCTGAATTTTTGTGGTGCAATTCTCCAGTCAAATGATGGGGGGTTGGAGGTGGAGAAGCGTAGGTCAAAGTGAAGGCTATCGATGGCATGCAATCTATGTTCTAGGTCCACAGGATGAGGCAATGCTTTCAAATACCACTTGTTGGAAGCCACAGATGGGGAGAGTTCTCTGTGTTCGAATCCTGCTTCAGGGTTCCCCACAGACACTTGATTGCCCACTGTGAGATTGTTTGACTCGGCAGGCCCTTGGCCTGATCCAGCATGTTCTTAAGATGTGGGTCTCTGCTCCACCTACTAGCAGGTTGGCAGTTTTAAAGGCATTTTCTCCTGGTTGGGAGAATTGCCGCATGACCAAGTTGATAAATAGTCTTTAAGTCCAGCCTTAATGAGGAACAGTAGAGTGAGTTGGATATGAGCCTGGAGAAGGGAAGACTGAGAAGCGATATGACAGCCATCTTCAAATAGCTGAAGGGTTGCCATGTGGAAGATGGAGCAAACTTGTTTTCTTTGGCTCCAGAGGAGAGGACCAGAACCGATGAGATTCAAATGTCAAGGAAGGAGATTCCAACCAAACAATAAGGAAGAACTTCCGGGTGGGAACAGTAGTTTGACAGTGGAATGGACTCCAACTGCACAATCCTATGATTCTAAGAGAATTTTGCAGCACATGTTGCTTCTTTTCCATTTAAATCCTCTATACAAATCTGGATCTGGGTGTTCCGCCTCCGCTCCCCTCTGTGTCATTCAAAGGCTCCTTTTTGCCTCAGGAAGGACTCGGCTGAAAGGTTTTAATTTATTTTGCAAACTTTTATTCTCCTCTCCCGAGCAGAGCTTTCTAAAGTCAAGCCACTCTTCAGACAGGCAGGAATCTGAGGCACATCACATCGTGCCTTCCTTGCAATGAATACTAATTCAGGGGGTTTTTTGGGGGGGTGGGGGGTGTCGGATAGAAAGAGAGAGGGATAAGTCCTGTAAGAAGCTGCACAAGCAGGATGCTATCAACACTATTGCCTGTTATCAGCTTCAACCAACCATAAGGTGTTTCTATTCTAATTCCTGAACAATTCAAGATGCAAGACAGTTAAAGAGGTATACCAGGGGTCAGCAAACTTTTTCAGCAGGGGGCCGGTCCACTGTCCCTCAGACCTTGTGGGGGGCCGGACTATATATTTCTTTTTTTTTGGGGGGGGAGAACATGAACAAATCCCTATGCCCCACAAATAACCCAGAGATGTGTTTTAAATAAAAGCACACATTCTACTCATGTCAAAACACGCTGATTCCCGGACCGTCCATGGGCCGGATTTAGAAGGTGATTGGGCCGGATTTGGCCCCCGGGTCTTAGTTTGCCTACCCATGAGGTGCACATGTGCTTAGGGGGTCTGATTTGGCCAAGGCTGCCTGTGCTGCAAAGGAATCAAGGTGCTAAGCAGAAAGAACTGAGATCATTTAAGCATTTTCTTTTTTTAATTTTTATTTAATTTTATTTTATATACAAACAAACAGGTAAACACAAATATTTCACATATGCTACTAACACCAGTTACAAATATTAAAACACCCTTGTGACTTCCTTCCACCAACATTTGCCTTCTTTTATAGAGTGTGATTGTATTTGTCAGAAAGTTCTTCTTGATGTTTAGTCAGATTCTCTCTTCTTCTTAACTTGACTCCATTGATTTGGGTCTGTGATGGCCTGGGACTTGGGCTCAGGCTCGGAACCAGAGGAGTCTCAGTCTGCACTGGATCCTTTGCCTCAGGTATCATCTGAACCAAGTCTGGGGCCTGATCCTGAAGAGTCCCAGTCTGTACAAGTTGCCCTGCAACAAGCACCAGCTGGGCCGAGTCAGGGGCCTGAGCTGCCCTGGCTCCAGATGCAGGGATTATCTCATTGCCTTCAGCTGGGAAATCACTTACAGCTGCTCCACTACCAGTTGGGTCAGGGGAGGCTGAGGCGGCCGCTGGGTCTAGTAACCCACCGACGTCTCCCAAGCTGCAGAGAGAAGGAGAGACCTGAGTACTTGCAGGAAAAGTGCTCGCCTTTGGGCAAAACAGGGAGGTGAGTCACCAGGGGATCAGGACCAGCCACTACCCCGACAGAGATAAAAAGCTGACAGACCCTGCCCCAGGTTGCGGGAGCAACATTGCTGTATGCTAGATCTTGCCTGAGATCCTGTACCTGTCATTGCCTGGTTTCCTGCCTTGGCCCTGTCGGACTGACTTCTAGCGGAACCTTTGGATACTGGTCTGGTCCTGGACCGTGTTTCAAGGGTTACCCCTGGGCCCAGCAAGGGTCCTACCCTTTAGGAGCAGCAGAAAGCAAGCTTGCTCCATCAAGGAAGAAGTTTATATTTGGTTCTGGGCTCTTGGTGTGGAAGGAGACCTCTTTGCTGGTGTGGTTGATCTTCCCACAGCCTCCTTCCTTGCCCAGAGCTGGGAGCTGGGGTATTTCTGTCACCTAAGAAAAAAAGGAAAGCAGGGGAAGGATAGGGAGAAGGAGAGGGAGAGAGAGAGGAATCTTGATTAGGGGCCAATAAAATTGTCCAAATCATATTTATTTATAAAAGTATTTCTATACCACAAATTAATGCAATGTAACACGGCCGCGTGCAAGCGTATATACAATAACATAGAAGACACCATATAATAATGTAATAAAGTTCAAGATGATATAGAGCCCTGTTCTCCGCTGGGAACTCTTCAAGCTTAGCTGTATTAGAATGGAGACGCAAGCTATAATTAACAACCCAAATACACTCGTTAATGATTATTTATTATTTCACTCTAGCGCATGTATGATTCCGCACGTGGCATCTGTTTTTATTATATGGTTATCACAACATTTGTGGGAACGTGAGGAGAAGCAGCGTGTTGTACCAGTGCGCGTTGTGCAAAATTTCAAAATGGGCGCTGCGAAAATGGTCAAAACAAAGGACCATGAATAGTTTGACATTGGTCGCAATAAGGAAAATAAATAAATCAGAGGCGTCACAAACAGTGGGAGAAACTCACTGGCAGGCATGTGGCTGTTTCTCGGCGTTAATTAAAGCTCTCTGACAACAGTGCGCAGCTCAGTGCATCATCTGGTTGAGCATCGTTGCATAATGTCATCCTGTTTGCTTGATGAAGCTGGATGGCTGATGTACACCCATATGCTTGTGTTGACTCAAGCTGCAGCGGTGCCAGCTTGTCATGTAAGATCAGCCTATGAGTTACGCTCTCTCTGGTTGGGTGTACAGACTCCAGAGTAAAACTCAGCGGGGTGGAACCAGACATGGATTTGCGCAGCAAATGATGCAGCTACTGACTTTCCCCCCTTCCAAAGCGCTCTGGAATATACAGGGTATTTCAAAAGGTGTGAGAACACACAACTGAGCATGCTCGTAGTATCATGGGATTGTAGAGTTGGAAGGGACCACGAGGGTCATCCAGTCTACCCCCCCTCCCAGCAATGCAGGAATCTTTTTACCCAAAGTGGGACTCGAACCCGCAGCCCTAACATTCAGAGTCTACTGATGGAGCGGTAATGAGATGAAAGATGTAATGAAAAACATTAATAGAAACTTGGAGAAAAGGGGCAATATGGCAGTTATTCCAAGATAGCACTTAAACAGACATTCATATAATAAAAAATAGCGCTGGATGAAATTATTGGTCTCAACTAGGGCCAGGGCCTTTTCAGTTCTGGCCCCGACTTGGTGGAACGCTCTGTCACAAGAGACTAGGGCCCTGCGGGACTTGACATCTTTCCGCAGGGCCTGCAAGACAGAGCTGTTCCACCAGGCCTTTGGTTTCGACTCAGTCTGACCCTTATGTTTCCCTCCCCTTATGGTCTTGATCTATGGTCTACTTTTAAAATGAGGCTGCATTTTAAATTGTATTTTAACCCATATTTTTAAAAACTGGTTCCCCTTCTCTATTATGTTTTTACTGTAATTTTACTGGTGTTAGCCACCCTGAGCCTGGCTCTGGCCGGGGAGGGCGAGGTATAAATTATTATTATTATTATTTATTATATTTGGGTGGAATTTTTCACCTATGTGACTGTGTCACTAAGTACATCCATGGTGTGCTTCCTGTACTCCTCTCCCCTGCTTGTTGCTTCCTATTGTAGTCTTCTATGACATCACTCATTACCATGGCAGCTATTGTGTTATGCCCTTGCTTTTTCTCTGGAATGTAAGATGGGAAAGGGTGTTAGAGCTACGAGCCATTCAACAACCTGTTTAGCGTGGAGTAGATAAGACTGATAAGGTGATATGAGAGCCATCTTCAAATATCGGAAGGGCTGACACATGGAGGATAATAATAATAATAATTTATTATTTATACCCTGCCCATCTGGCTGGGTTTTCCCAGCCACTCTGGG